GAACTGTGAGTCACCTGCCCTGCCCTCCTGAGGCCAAGCAGCTCTGCAACCCTCTCTTCCCCACTTCCATCTCCCCAAAGGAGGGCACAAAGTGCTTATCGAGGAGAGCAGCAGGGGCCACGAATTCAGTGTTTAAGCCAGACCCCCTCGTCCCACTCAAGGTGGATCAAAGTCCTGACTCAAGGGCCCTTAGCTGAGCACATTCTGTCCGCCTTGAATGATCAAAGGAACATGGTTTCCCCTTCCCAGCATTCCTGATCATTGAAAAGTCACCTTAGTAGCCTTAGGTCATGCAGGGATTTGACAGTATGTTATTGTGGCTGTGTTTTGCAGGAGCTCTCCCCAGCACTCAACACCCCAGAAGTAGTTGTGGGATTTTTTTGAGACAACCTAGCCTGGGCAACACAGCAAGACTGAGTGCTGTGGCATGAGCCTAGCTCACAGCAACCTCAATCTCCTGGGCTCAAGCAATCCTTCTGCCTCAGCCTCCTGAGTAGCTAGGACTACAGGCATGTGCCACCATGCCTGGCCAAATAACATAGAAAAAATTAGCCAATTAATTTCTTTCTATTTAGGGAAGAGACAGGGTCTTGCTCTTGGCTCAGGCTGGTTTCAAACTCCTGACCTCAAGCAATCCACCGGGCCTCGGCCTCCCAGAGTGCTAGGATTACAGGCGTGAGCCACCACGACCGGCCGTTTGTAGGATGTTCTTACGATAGGGAAAAGCCCCCACACCTGGGGGCCCTGTGGCAGAATCCACAATCCACTGATTGGATACCTGTGAAGTTTATGCCTGATCCTAATGATAGGGAAAAGCCCCCGCCTGGGGTCCTGAGGCAAAATCCACTGCAGATTGGGTACATGAGAAGCTTATTGGCTGATCCTACTAATCCCACCATTAATCGGATAATCTTGCATGCTCATAGGTGATTGGTTATGTGTGATCCAAGAACCGTATATAAGACTGGAGAGAAGGCAGCCTCCTCTGGAAGCTGAGCAGTTGGGACGTCCGGGAACCTGCTAAGGTGGACCCTTTAAGGTGAAGCTGATCAGCGAGCTGAATGAGCGAGAGGTCCAGCTTGGGGTGCCGGAGAAGGTCTCCTGGCACTCCGAGTACAAGGACAGCGCCTGGATCTTCCTGGGAGGGCTTCCTCAGGAATTGACTGAAGGCGACATCATCTGTGTTTTGTCACGATGGCGACCTCGGGCTCGGCGCGGAAGCGGCTACTCAAAGAGGCAGACATGAGCACAGTGGAATTCGAGACCAGCGAGGAGGTGGACGTGACCCCCACGTTCGACACTATGGGCCTGCGGGAGGACCTGCTGCGCGGCATCTACGCCTATGGGTTTGAAAACCCTTCAGCGATCCAACAGCGAGCTACCAAGCAGATAATTAAAGGGAGAGACGTCATCGCACAGTCTCAGTCTGGCACAGGTAAAACAGCCACCTTCACTATTTCAGTCCTTCAGTGCTTGGATACTCAGGTTCGTGAAGCCCAGGCTCTGATCTTGGTCCCCACGCGAGAGCTGGCCGTGCAGATCCAGAAGGGCCTGCTTGCTCTCGGCGACTACATGAACGTCCAGTGCCACGCCTGCATCGGGGGCACCAATGTGGGCGAGGACATCAGGAAGCTGGATTACGGACAGCACGTCGTCGCAGGCACACCAGGGCGCGTCTTCGATATGATTCGTCGGAGAAGTTTAAGGACACGAGCTATCAAGATGTTGGTTTTGGATGAGGCTGACGAAATGTTGAATAAAGGTTTCAAAGACCAGATTTATGACGTGTACAGGTACCTGCCTCCGGCCACACAGGTGGTCCTTATCAGTGCCACGCTGCCCCAGGAAATCCTGGAAATGACCACCAAGTTCATGACGGACCCAATCCGCATCCTGCTAAAACGTGATGAGTTGACTCTGGAAGGCGTCAGACAGTTTTTTGTGGCAGTGGAAAGAGAAGAGTGGAAGTTTGACACCCTGTGTGATCTCTACGACACACTGACCATCACGCAGGCGGTCATCTTCTGTAACACCAGGAGGAAGGTTGACTGGCTGGCAGAGAAGATGAGAGAAGCCAACTTCACCGTGTGCTCGATG